AGATAGATAGATAGATAGATAGATAGATAGATAGATAGATAGATAGATAGATAGACAGAGACAGAGACAGAGAGGGAGAAAGAGAAAGAGAGAGAGAGGGGGGGGGGAGAAAGGCAGATTCACAAGGAAGATTAAATTTGTGAACGTAACATGCTTTCATTTAGCTCACCTTTTTTTTTACAATTTGATTTCGCTCAGGGCACACGTCGGAGAATTTTCTTTATAAGTTAGCTAGCATTAAAATTCACTAATCAAGAAAGAGAAAGTGCAAATATCGTAGTAGTTTTATGTCCTGTAAAGGCAAACTAAAACATTTTTAGGATCAGTACTTTGATTCCAACTGGACACTTCAGAAATGATACTCTGTTGTGGTGTATTCCTTCTTTCCTGCCAAAACCTATCTCTCTTATCTCCTTATCTCTTTTGCTTGAATAATAACAATAAAAAAAACTTCTATAGCGACCACTCCCTGGTGGCTATATGCGCTTCACAATTTTAAAAAAATATAGTTTAAAAATCAAGTCACGTTTCATGCTCAATGACCCATTCAACGCACAGCTATTCTTTTAACTATATTATTAGTACATGCTTCTTTTTGGACTCCAAGACTTTTTTTATGTCCATTTAAAACACGTTTCTGTGTGAGATTTGCTAGTATGCGTTGATCAAAGGAACAGTTTTAAAAAAAGGAATACAAGTTTGCAGTTTCAACGGACACTCTGGCTTTGGATGTCTTTGTCTAATTTTACCTTTGTTAGCCGGTGACATCAGCCTTTTTAATTTGCAAATTGTAATCAGAAACAAGAAAAACGAATAGACTTTAAGGGGATACAAATATGTCCCTGTATACATCAAAGAAGATGAAAAATTCCCTCATATAGTAACACAAATTAATTGTGTTAAGTGTCCAACATTTGGAATCCATCTAACATAAATTTTCAACACATTATTAAAATCAAATAAACAAATAAAAAAAGAATGCTATGACGGCCTTGTAAAATAAAAATCGGTCACATAATAATAATATGTTACAATCAGAGGCACCACAGGCTGAAGAACCAGCAGCTGACTGCCTCTGGGGCCAAGCAGGGCAACACACAGAAGAAGAAATGGACAGCCTTAAGTTTAAAAAAAAAACCCCCAAAACAAAAAACCCCCAACAGAATCTGAAAAAACCCCAAACAAAAAACACCACCTTAGAAGAACATCTCACCTTTCTCAACACTTTTTCTTTGATGTCGCTGCCCTCCTGCACCGTCCCCCAACCCGAAGCGATGCAGTTTGACCCCGTGAACCCTTGACCTGAGCTGGGCAAGCAGGCTGGACGGATACCCATGCCAACCAGATCCAAAGGCTTGTCCAGCTTTATCTGAGGGACATCATGACGTCTTTCAGTGCCATTTGCATCCCTAATTACCAGTGCAATGTTTAAAACGCTCAGGGGAAAAACATACTTTAAGTAAAAAAAGAACCAAAACAACAACAAACAATTGCAACAGTATATTAAATCTTAAATATAAAGAAAACAAAAAATAATAATAGTAAATAAAAATACTCTGTTATTTTTACATGTGGAAGAGAGATGACTTT